TCGTCATCGTCTTCACCAAGTGGATTGAGTAGTACTTCGGCAACCTGTATAAAAGAATGAACAATCAATTCAAATGCAACAGTTTCAACAGTTGGTTAGTCCGGTGAAGATCGGCCATGTTTTCTCTATCCGATTCTCTTTGAGGTTGTGGCTTTCTCGGAGGTAGTTGTCATTATTGAGCAGTGAATCGTGTATTGTATTGTGCCATGCCCTTCATTTGTGGGTAACAGTGCTTACACCCACAATGTTACTAAAGAAATATAAGAAAAGCGGCTTCATTTCTACTCAAACTTGGGGTACAATGTTGTATTCTTTGTTGAAGGCGCGCCTCAGAAACACACCAGAACTAGAGCTGGAGCTCTACTCTATGGAATAAATTTCAATTCGAGGAATATCAAGGGCGTTCGCAGCTCTACAAAAAGTGCCCTCTTCAGAAGATGTCCTCCCGAAAATTGTCCTTCAAACATACGAAGAAAAGTATGGAGAAATTACGGAAACCTGAGAAATCCTAGCTCGGAATCACTTACGAAACGACCAACAACCAAACACTATGCAGCCTTCAGAAATAAATCCACGGATTGAAGGAATTTCCTGGGCTCGTTTGAAAACTATTGCTAATTCGTTTTGTAGATTAAAAGGCGCAAGTCGTCCCTATGAGAACCTCTAATGACGAAGGCCACTCCATGAGCTCTACAACCCGCGTCATTTCACCTCGCTCGAAATATTATTTTTGCGTCCTATGAACAATAGAAATCAATGTATGAACAAAGTCGCTAAATGCAATTCTTCGAGCCGTTCCTCGCACCACTTGAAGTCGTTTAGCTTTAGATGCACATGTAAAAATGAAATGTCTCCACTCGTTTTGCTATCGAATGTTGAAAAGAAAAAACTAAGACGAAGCTTATTGAGCTACACTTCTGATTGTCATTGCACAGGTGGACTTCCCAGCAAACACAGCACAACCACTGAGATCAAGGAACAGGAGAAGAAGAGATGAAAACGCTCGTAACTGTCGTTTAGCTAACCAAAGTAGCCTACATTCCTTTCAAAGTATCACTTTTTGTTTTTTCATGTGGGGTTATGTTTGTTGTATGGCAGAAATGAATAGAGCGCGCTGGTTGGCGCCTTCTAATTTTTGTCTCACCTTTAACCATCCAATGAAGAACGTGAATTGCAGCATAGTCATGATTGGTACATATAGATCTATCTGGAATGAAATATTTAGCTTTAAGCAAAAAAATCGGATTTTCCACAATCAGGTAGTTTAAAAGGACATTGCGGAACTCTAACGAATCTACTGCACAAGCCCGAAGGCTTCAGCATTGACTTCGAAGTGAAACGGGCCTAGACGAAGTTTCAATGTGTTGCAAATTCTTCATAGCCGAATATGGCCAGCTTGTTATCAAAAAATCATTGATGCGATGTACAAAGCTGTCTTGCTCCGCCTCACTTCAAGGGTGTTTTCTTCAAATTTCCATAAGCTACAGAACGCTACAGGGATGGTCCACTACGTATGTATGTGTGTACTTTTGATCATATTTAGTGCAAATGATATTGTTATAAGTTATATGAATGTTGCCAGTTGCTGATGATGATCACTGTTTCGAAGAGACAAAGAGCTTGCTAAACATGTAACATCATCCGGAGTGAAAAGTCTCTCGACCAACTTCTAAATCACGGAAATTTTTTTTCAACAGATCTTTGCAACCTAACGGACTCCTAGAATACTCGTACATTGACAGGTCGTCTAAACACGATCTCAACAAAATAAAATTTTGAAGCAGCAGTGAGTTTCAAGCACAGAAAACGACATTTTGCTCACCGATTTCTTGAGTGGGTCTCTATCGAGATATTGTCGAGCAAATAATGCTATTACGAAGTAGCTGTAGACTGTGAGATGAACAACCTGTAAAGAATTCGTTTTATGTGCATGATTTAATTTTGCGTGGAACATTTAATGCATTATCTGTGTTTGAAACACTTCAACTGTTCATTATAGATGGTCAGTCTCGGAAATGTAGGCATACCAACCATAATGTCTAAGAAGTAGACAAGTGGTAACATCAACAGTGCTTTTGAAGCGTTTTGGCTTCTAGCATTATGTGCGCATCAATTTTATTTCAAGTAAAAAGGAACGAACAGTCTAGGGCGCATTCAAAACCATAGTTTCTACATAATCCTCGATGGTTCGCTCACTTTTTGATTTTTTTTTTGAGTTACGGACATTTCAACAAGAAGCGACAATATCTATCAGCCTTCCCTACTATACAGGGGTGGCCAAAAAAAGAGACACTTCACTCCACATTTCAGACAGCATTAATCACACTTTGCTAATCAAATCGACTGCTCCCAACTTAGTATTGAAGAGCACATTCCAATCTATCTAAACTTATAACAGCTTTCTGCACCAAGGACATCACAAGAATTTGCCATGGGAACCTTGTGCACGGTTCGAGCTCAACGTGGTCCTCGACGGATCATGGACCATTGCGACGTTATCTGAAAGGCTGGAAGGGTCTGCATATTCAGAGCTACTGTCTCTAGGAAGCAATCTATCAGTGATCCGATTAAAGAAATTTCGTAGCAGCCTTAGGCTGGATTACGGTAGGCCTTCTTGAGCTCAACGGTGATGGAAGATGACGTCATATTTGAGGACGGTGAGGGCAGTGGAGGAGGGCCTGCTTCTACTTATGGGAGGACATCTAAGGGATATTTTGCCGTAAAACTTTCATCAACGGCACCTGTGCGACGAAAAGTTTGATGATGTGCGCCATGGGCAAAGTGTCTCTTTTTTGGCCACCCCTGTATATAAAACGCTATATCTGTCTGCTTGTGTGTGTCATGAAATTCATGGCACATGTCGCAGCAATGGTGGGACCTTGGTCCTTACAAGTGTTATAGGGGGTTGGACGGGTGCTGATACGCTGTAGCAAGGCGACTTCATAATTCATCATGGTTCACTTCTAATTCGAACTAACCTGTGTGTACACTAGTGGTACCGGCACCCAGTCAAAAAGCCACAGGTTGATGAGGCTAGATCGGAAGACTGCAATTCTCTAAAAGAAAAAATGCTTTGCTGATCCTCAATGATGATGTGTTTGATAGTAGTTTTTCGACCAAGTTGTTTATTTAACCCAAAGTGCCAAACTCTCTTACATGTTCCCCCATTTTTTACGCATACCAGGAGTGAGCCACGGATCTCTTTCACTGAGGGT